ACAACCGTCTTGGCTACAACATCATTTCGGCTACAGCTGGTAATGAGTCCCCCAACAACTTCCAATAATAAATTGCCTTGCACGATCCCTTATAATGTATGGTAAAAAAAAAAAGTTGGTTTATAGCAGGCAATTGGAATAGAGGCATGTTCGGCTTTAAGTTATGACAGTAGTCCAGCCACTGACAAAATCCTAAAACCAGGGGTGCAACTCAACTTTTTTGAAAATAGCTGAAAATCCATATGCCACGGTCTCGCTAACATAAGAATATCAATTTGAAACCCAAAGGGTGTACATAGAGAGAAATGACAAACAAACAAAAACAATGGGTGTACATAGAAAGAAATGACAAATATTTAAAGAAAAATAGATTAGATGTACTTAACATAACGGAATCTTACCTTTCACTTGCATATTTCAGGCATACAGTGAATTTTTTTTCCCAACTATAGATTCTATCTCGATCTCAATAACGGAATAGCGGATCAGGATCAAAATACCGGAAATACCGGGAAAAAAGCGGAAAAGTGGCATCCCTGTAAAACAATTGGAGGGAGGAGTTCCGCAGACAAGGTCCACTGGGCAAACTATACAAGAATTAGGGTTAGGTTTAGGGTTAGGGTTGGGTGTGTCGTTGGTCGGCCGGCCCTCTGCGGAACCTCTTCCCAAAATGGACAAGAAAGCAACAAGAACGAAAGCAGTAAGCAGAGAAAAGCAAATGAAGCTAAACTACGTGTAAGACGCACTGTACCTCCACGAACGACAAGAGGCTTGAGTTGGTTATGATGTGTCATGCTCTCATACCATCTGGTCACTTATAAGGACAAGCGGGCTAACCCAGATTTCGGGTGTTTCCAGAAATCTTGACCTACACCAAAACTGGGCATTGCCCTACCTATAGGAGAAGTTTAGTTTCATTGGTGCGTATACATGTTTCATTTATAGAGAAAACTCTCCTTGTCTTTTAAAGAAACTGAACAAGGGTCCAAAAATTTAGCTTCGATTTTCTGAAAATAGCATTTTTCGGGATAGTCCCCCTTGTCCTTAAAAGCGAACATGTATGCAGGTGAGGGTGAGGGTGAGGGGAAAGCTGGATGCACTTTGGTGTAACTCCAGATTTTCCAGTAAGTGACTTGCTCGAGTAGCTTAACGTGACCTAGGTGTGGCACCACATCGTCACAATTGTCTATCTGAGGGGGGGGGGGGACTTGACTGAATGGAAGGTAGATACAACGTAAAGGCACTGGGCGCTTGATCTACTGCAGATCTGTGGGTTCCTTTTCCTAACCCAGGTAACTATTTGGTTACGAATTGTTGAAAAGTGCATAGAGCCTGCTGTGGAGCATGGTGTGCTCTAAATAAGTGCCATCGCATGACTATTGTTTTCCTTAGGTTAGGTCATATTCATCTCAAATGATATCGAGTCAATCGTCAACCTCCATGAGACTAAGGTACTAGAGAAAGAAAGGCAATGAAGAAGAGCCAATAATATCAGTGGAAAAGAAAGGAGAAATAACGAATAGATTCGTAGTGGGTAATCTGTGTAATTAAAAATGATCTTATTCATTTGTTGTGTTTTTTGTGTGTGTGTGTGTGTGTGTGTGTGTGTGTGTGTGTGTGTGTGTTTGTGTATCTTTTGAGACTCGTACAGCAAACACATAATTGCACTGCTTTGGTCCTGCTGATTCAGGATACATTGCTAAATAAATACATAAATACATCGCATATTTTTGTAAATCAATTATAAAATTACCGTTACCAGCTGAAATCTAGATCAAGTTAAAAGTCCTGGTCTACCAATTTCAAACTCCTTCAAATGAAAAAAAAATAACGAACAAAAGAACTTGCACAAACAGATCAAAGTTCATTTTGATCGGGGTGCTTGACCTCTTCATGTATCAAACTAATCTTATTTCAAAATCTTTTACAACACTACAGAACTCGGAAACCCGGAGTCTCAAAGTTCATGCAATGCAACATTCAGACTGGAGTGGCAATTCACAAATCACAGTCCATTGTGCTTGTGGAACTATATTTACTATTATTTACATTGCATCGATAAATTGGCCTGCCGCTGATGAAACAAAAATTTAATCACTTCCACAGAAGGTGGGAGCAAGGACATGATATATTATTCCTTAGATGTGGTTCGACTGTACATTCAAACCACATCTAATGGTCACCTGTTTAAAACAATCACCTGTGCTTCTCCACGTACATTAAAAAAAAAGAATCACGACATGCAGGAATCAGGCACTTGTCAATTTTTGGGCATATTTATGGAGTTATCGGTATGATCTGTTTATTTGCCTCACTTTGGACGAAAAAAAACATCCTTCCATCTTGAAAAGATGTTGAGACATTCGCAAAAAAAAAAGTTAAGGAGAGGGGGGTCGCCTGGTTTCAGAGGTAAAATTAGGGAGAAAATGGCCAACAAAGTTTGGCTACCTCCATAGCTTAAATTAAGAGGCCTTGAAAACTGAAAATTTACAATTTTTGTGCCTTTAATCAATGTTTTTCTATAAATCCAAATATAAATATGCGTTTTTAAAAGGCAAAAGATCTTGAGCTAAAAAAAAAATTGATAAAAATTTCCAAACCAGTAGAAGAATGTTGGTTTCTTCATTTTCATTATTTTGATGAGCGCCTGATTTCACCACGGTCATAAAATGCCACTGTCCAAAATACCCACCCGCCTAAGACAACCACTTTTCTCTTTGTCAATGGGTGGACAATTTCAAATGTATTTTCTAATTCTCCTTCATTTTTTTCTCAACAAACTCACAACATCTGAGCACACTAGTGTGTGTGTATGTGGTGTCTGGTGTGTATGCGTGTGTGTTAATGTGTGTGTCTGTATGTGTGTGAGTGCGTGTGGGTGGGTGTGCAAGTTCTGTCTTCATTATAATAGATATTCATGTTCTTGCCATCCTGACCACTAAATCAAATATTCTCTGATGTTTCTGTAGTCTAGTCCAGCAACGTTAGTAGCTCTTTATTATAATAT